TATTATCATCTTGCATATCTGACATAGTCAGCAAGATTCACAGAGGTTACATCGAGCTATATGCACATATTGATCTATATATATACTATATATATATATGCGTATACGACAGATACATACATATATCGTACATGTATTTATATAGATATCCAATGCATATATGTTCGGACATAGATATATCCATATATACCACACAGATACATACAGACTCTGTGATAGACCTGTACAATTATTTAGGTTGACGTGTGTATACCGAAACCAACTGCGCATCGGGAGGGGCGGCGGTCCCAAGGGGTATCAACCACCAAGTGCACGGCGAATTATCTGCTCAATGGCCATCATCTCGGCACGGGCGCAGGCGCCCAGAGTCATCTGGTCGGTCAAAGCGCCAAAGGGACGCTGGATCTCGGCCCACATGTAGCCAAAGTATCCATCAGTGTAGCCAGCTAAGCGCTCCAGCTCAGCTCGGTGGCCGATGGGGAGGGCGGCGACGGTGCGGTTCGTCTCCTCGCGAATAAGAGCAATGTACCACTGGTTACCCGTCAGTCACTTGTCTTGTCCAACCGCGCTTGCCACAGCTTGACACGACTTACCTCGAGCATGTCCAGCGGCACGTCAGGCTTCGGGCTCAGTGCGTAGAGATGGCACCAAGAATCAGCAAAGCGAGGTTGGCCGTGCGATCGTGACTGCATGGAGTCCATCTCGACAATGTAGGCAATGTCATCCTTCTGGAGGGGGGTAAATCCCGCGCAGGTCATGGCGCTGAGCACCAGCCGTTTCAGCAGCTGCGATGTAAGGTTCACCTCGTCGACACGGTTGCGGACCTTAAAGAACAAGATGCGCACGAGTTCCACAGTAGCTCGATGGATGGCCGCGCGCTGGCGCACCGTGATGAAGTCGTGGCAGTCCCAAGGAAGCTTCTTCAGCGTGCTGATGAGGCACTCAAACGCTCGCTGAGGGCATTCCTTGGCGAAAGGAGACTGGATCCAATCAGTGAGACACACGACAAACAAAGGACTGCTGCTGACTTACTCTATTGGGCATCTCGACATGCTTGACGAGCATGACCATCTCCTCCTCTGTCACAAAGCCCGTGAATTGACCATAGGGAGCACCATCTTTGCGGCTGCCTGTCATGTGCGGATGGATGCCCTCCCAGCGAAGTCCGGAAGCAAAAGGAAACAGGTCCTTCATTAGAGAGCTTTGGCTTGAGAGCTCGACACTGATCGGGCGGTCTCCCAGGCGACCTACCTTGCCCTTGCTAGAGTTTAGAACGAAGCGATCGACAGCAGAAACGGCATCGGCCATGGTCTGAAATTCGACATAGGCGTCGTTAGTCTTGCTCGAAACCCTGTCCATGATAATATGCACAGGCTCCTCAAAGTCGTTGAGCATTTTTGAATTGCGGCCGAGGAAGGCAATGACTTCGGCACGAGTGGTAATGAAAGGAATCTATAAGACGCGTCAGGGAAACCTTCTAGTGAGAGGCCTGTAACATTGACTTACGTTAAGCAACTTGACCACGCCACGATCAGGAACTCTGGGTCGTTCAGCGGTCACAATGAATGGGAAGTTCTCAGTGGCCAAGGCGACCGCGGCGCTGGGGAGGCCGTTGCAGCTGCTCGTGAGGTTATTGAGAGCAACGGACCGCTGTTGTCTGATATCTTCCAGCATGGGCTGGACAGTGAGCGGCTGGACAATGTCATGATGGACAGCTGAGTGGTTCGCAACAACGAGGCTGGTACCGATAGTAGGGCTTGAAAAAGGGTCGTGCTCGACCTGGACGCTCTCGACGGAGCTGTTACCTTGGACCGGGTCAAGGTTGAATCGAGGGGGAGGGGCTGGAACACCACGCAGACCAACAGTCTGGCGACCAGTGATGCGGTTCTCAGAAGCCGGGGGGGCTTGATATCCAGTGGGTACCCTGTAATTAGTGTCCAAGCCTGCAGAACGAGCAGTGCAAGGGGTATCCTGAGATTGCAAGGACCGACCTCGGATAGGAGTCGGAGTCATGTCAAGGTCAATGATGCCAGCTGAATGGCTGGTGACAAGGCTTCCTCGTTGAGTCGGCTGAGAGAAGCTGTGAGTGAGAGGCAATGAGACCTTACCGGCAGTTTCGCCCTTGTTGCTGTAGGAATGCTTCAAAGGGCTTCCAGCAAGCGATGTAAGTCCAGTTTTGCGAGCCGTTCCCCCCGTGAAGCCGGCTTGGTCAATGTACCTATCAGTGCCACCAAAGTTGAAAACATTAGGCGACGCGAAGCCAGGCTGTGAGTTCATCACTCCATGGGCTGGTTCAAACGGACGGATGGGGGGGATGGGGGGCGGGAAGCCAGACGGGCCTCCAAGGCCAGCGATGTGGCCTGGGACATGAATGCCAGAGATAGTGCTAGAGGTACCGGCAGTGTCAAGAAGGTTCTCTTGAGGAATCACCATGCCGCTGGGATCGTATAAGGTCCGGTACAGGGGCTCGACCTTCTCCGCATCTTGCTGATGTTCATTGTGCACGATGGAAGCTTCCTGGCCGAATTGTTGACCGAAAGGAATGCGGGATTGCATGTTACCGACATACTCAGTCGTGTTCAGGGGCTGCTTAACGGTCGTTTTAGTTGATACTCTGGACAGCGGAGATGGTTATCGTGATGTGACTTACTGAATGATGCAAGTTGTAAGAATTATGAAAGCCATGAGGAGCCTGCTGAGAAACAGGAGGCATGCCTTCAGGGACCAAAGCCGGGGTCCAAGGGGCACTGTCGGGGTTAAGAGAAGAGTTACTGCGCATGCCGGTATTGAGTCGTTCAGCAACGGCAGGAGCTTTGATATTAGGCTTCTGGCTGCCCTGAGACGGCTGGAACTGATTCGAGCTCATCATTACGACTTGTTTCCAGGGTAGACCGAACTAGAAGCCTAGTGGATATCGATAATTGTTAGTTCGTGCATACTAGGGAGGAAAACAAGGTAGTTATGGCCGCCTGCGGTTGTGCTTAAGGGAAAGAGTACTCACAGGCTTGTCGTTACCGCGCGATTCAAGACCGTAACAAGACCGTAAGAAGGAGACTTGTTCTGGGCTGGATGCCTTTCTAAGAGAAAGCCCTCGTGTTAGTAGTTGCGGCCGCGATCAAGCTGCAGAAGGCTCTGCAGTAGTACGCGGCGATGTAGGGTGCGGGCGTAGACGTTCCGCGGTCGTGGTTTAGAGATAGTTGCAAACTTCGGGAGCCTAGTTAGTTTCCGTGTGGAAAGTCAGTTCAGGCAGCACTCGTTTTGAGAAAGGAAGGCATGGAGTTTGAGAAAGGTGGGCGAAAAAAGCCTAATAAATCTATCGCGTATGCGCGTAAACAAGAACAGCAGTGAATGCAGGAAGAAACCTCAGGCTTCTTCTCCGACGCGGCATCCAAATTCAGTATACAGTAGTAGAGTAGTAAATAATAAAACTCACTAAGGATTAGCCTCGAGCTTGTAGATCCGAGCCACAGCTCTTAGGTAAGTTCACTGGCCGATAGCTTGCAGTGTACGAGACGATGAAGATCGATTATTAGCAACAGGGATAAAGGGTGCAAGGAGGAAGGGTGCCCTGTGGCTTAAAAGGCACTATTCCTCTATAGCTGTGAATCAGAGAGCAATTCCACCAGAGTCTCAGGTGGGTTCGTGAGGGCAACCACGAATAGGAAAATCCCTACCTTCAGTTACGGGGTGAAAGTCTGGGATTGACCAGAAGTTCATTGAATCGGAGGTGCCAATCTCGAGAGTTGTCACGCTGAAGATACCAGCTTCTCTTCTTATGCTACGCTGTTTGATTGTTCCCAAAGGTCGACGTGATCATGGACATGAGTGCTCAAAGCACTGCTTTTGGTTGCACTAGAATTGTACCCTTGACCTTGCCAGGACTACAACCTCGACAACCTACCTATGATATCACGCGATGCTTCAAAAGAAAGAAAAGCAGGCCAGAGTAACGCGGTACAGTATTTTTTCAGTGACATCAACTCCGCCCCCAATCTATGACAGGGCTTTTTTGGATCGCTTTGTGATTTGGATTGCTAGGCGGAATGCCGAACTCTTCTCATGGGAAATAGCTGATTGCGATGCGCCGGGGATGGCGGTTCTTCCGTATCCCAGCCCCGGTTATGCAGCGCCAAAGAAGGACGAGCCGTCTTGGCTACAGCAACACTAACAACAGGCAGGCTTTTGAGGGCGCATGTTTAAAACAAGCATGGTGAGAGTTCAATCAAACTGCAGTGCATTGAATCAGACACCGTCTTACGGTATTTTGTTGAAAGAGAAAACTTACAGGCGTCAGGAAGGACTCGGCGACAAATCTCGCACGGGCGTTCAACTGAGTGATGGTTAGCCATGAAAATAAAGGGGCATTAGAAGTAGGATGCCGTAACATACGAAAAGCTTCATCTCAGAGATCTCCTTGTCCACTTCCTCCATAAATTGGATAATAAAGTCGACCAACTTGTGTTTGAGCATCTCCTCGGTGTGGAAGTTTGTGATGAGGAACGAGATGTCGTAACCCTAAGTCGAGTTAGTACCATGTCCAGGGCGACGACAAGCGGCTTCCACGCGCGTCTGCCTCCAGGATGAACTGACCTTGATCGCCTTCCTCCTCAAGATAAGAACGACTTCGGCTCGTTGCGTCAAGAAGCGCGTAAACTTGTGGACCAGAATGTGCTCGATCTCGTCGGCCTGCTTGATCTTGATTGATATACGTATGGAGTTGATGCTAGGCTCGATCAAGACCCTTTCGTTCTCGTTACGGGCGATCGTCAGCGGTGTCAAGAGAACCTCTGGGGACGTTTGGGCCTCAATCTCGGGAACATTGTGGCGCTCGGCAGTCTGGGAGGCGAAGTTGGAGAGGGTGAGGGCAGATGTCAGGCTGCTTCGGACAGCCTGGAGGTAGGGGCGGAGAGACTGAGACTAGAGGCAGCATGTCAGCAGGAGGCTTCATGAAAGATTCAGCAGCTGTATCTAGTGAAGCGCACCATGATTGTTACCGACAAAGGTCTGCCGCAGCTCGAGTGTCTTGGGAAGTCGTCGTCGGTAGAGCCCGCGGGGTTCGTGAAGTCGGGGCGGCTGGAGGCACTGACGTCTCGCAGTGGGGCAGCATGACAGCACGGCGCGAGCTCGAGATGTGGAATCAGTTACAGGAAGCGCAGGCGCTGAGGCACGTGACCTTGCTGACTGTCCCCCCTCGAGATGGATTCCTTGAGCTTCGGCGGCCCCGCAGATCCCCCGCCACCAGCGCAAGGGCGACGAACCCCCACCAAGCAGACCGCCCACCACGAAGAAACCTAGGAAGTGGCCAGGGGCAGTGAGCTGATAGGTAGTCGGTACTTTGGTGCCCCGCAAACAAACTGCTGGTTGCCTTGTACTACGAGGCATTGGACCCTCCTCCAGGCGGCGGGCGGTGACGCACCTGGAGAGTTGCCTCCCACCTGCAGACTTTCCCATCCACAACCTTTACCATCAGCATTGGAATCGCATTCCTCGTAAAACTTTGTTGGGCAAACCATCTGCCAGCTACATAATACGACGTTACCTCCTCAGACTCAAAGAGCACTTTATCGACAGCTACTGGTGCTTGTTACCACGCCCCATATAACGAACCGCCAATATGGCCACCATCCCGAGTGAGTGTACTCCAAGCGAGGCTGTTCTGCTTTCTTCGCTTGTACTGACATGGTTGCCGCTCAGTTGTCGTCAAACACTCTGGCAAAAAGTACGACGTTGAGGTCGATACCACTGCTAATGGAGAGACTCTCAAATACCAGCTCTACAGCCTGACGGGCGTCGAGCCCGAACGCCAGAAGATCCTCGTCCGGGGTGGACCCCTCAAGGATGAAGCCGACATGTCGAAGATAGCTTTCAAGCCCGGCCAGGTCATCATGATGATGGGCTCGCCTGCTGATGGCAGTGCTACCCTCGCTCGACCGAAAGAGGCTATCAAGTTCGTCGAGGACATGACCGAAGCAGAGGCCGCACAGCAAGAGGGCGCAACTCCGGCTGGCCTTATCAACCTTGGGAACACCTGCTATCTTAATTCGACTCTCCAGACCCTTCGATCGATCCCCGAGCTCCAACAGAGCCTGACGACATACAAGGCCAAGGGCCCAGCTCCTCGCCCTGTCCAGGGCTCTCTCGGCCTGCAGCCCGTCTCGCAGGCTGACCTGGCCACACCTCTTGTCGACCTGTACAAGATGATGGCGGAGACCCAGGACAGTGTGGCGCCCCACACATTTCTGACCGTGCTGCGTTCCGTGTATCCCCAGTTCGCCGAAAAGTCTAAGCAAGGCAATGGCTTTGCTCAGCAGGACGCCGAGGAGGCATGGTCGCAGATTGTGAGCCAACTCAAGCAGCGCCTGGGTGAAGGCAAGGATTCTTCCTTCATCGACAAGTACATGGCCGGCGAAATGACTTCGACGCTCGAAGCCGACGAGCAGGATGCTAGAGACGGCGGCGAGGAAACAAGCAAGTCGACCGAGACTTTCTTCAAGCTGAACTGTCATATCGACGGCACAATCAACCACCTTCGGGACGGCATTGCGGCGGGCCTCACGGAAAAGATTGAGAAGAGATCGGCGGTACTCGACCGTGACACGAACTTTACCAAGAAGTCACAGATTTCACGGCTGCCAAAGTACTTGACGGTCCATTGTGTTCGTTTCTTCTGGCGCCGTGATACCCAAAAGAAGGCGAAGATTATGCGAAAGGTTGTGTTCCCGCACGAGCTTGATGCTGTTGAGTTTTGCAACGACGAACTCAAGTCGATGCTCATTCCCGTCCGCGACAAGGTCCGCGAGATCCGCAAGGATGAGGAGGATGTGCAGCGGGCTCGCAAGAGGCGCAAGATCAACGCCAACGATCGCGGCGACGTTGCTGGGTCCTCTGGCGCCCCACAGGAGAAGACGGCACTGGAGAAGGCCAACGAGAAGAAGGCGCCCGTGAGCCAGCTGCCCAAGGTCTCGGGCGACGGCGACACAGAGATGACAGAGACGTACAAGACGGATGCCGAGTTCGATGCGGAGCGCGATGCATCTCTCCTGACGCTCAAGAAGGAACTGGACGGACTCATCAACCCGGCCCTCAAGCAAGACGAGGGTGCCAACCAGTCTGGCTTGTACGAACTCCGTGGTGTGGTGACGCACCAGGGCTCGAGCGCCGATAGCGGTCATTACACAGCGTACGTCAAGAAGGAGGGTCGTGTTGATCCCAAGACGGGCAAGAGGGGCGAGGAGGACGGTAACTGGTGGTGGTTCAACGACGACAAGGTCAGCGAGGTGCCATCGACATCCATTGATGCCCTGGCGGGTGGTGGCGAGTCTCACTCTGCGCTCATCTTGTTGTACAAGGCCATTCCTCTGCCCACAGCAGAGGAGCCGAGCAGCTAAAGTGGAAGCGTGGAAATATCCTCTATGACTGGGCCTCTGGGTTTCAGGCTAATCGGACTCTGGTCTGATGGGCGTTGCACACTTGGGACAGCGTTGGCCCTATTTTAGGGTCACGAGAGGCATACCGTTCGAAGAGTGTGCTTCCTTTCATCTCTACTTAGTCTATGATACAGTATTCACGTGTGACTGTGTGTCTCGATTCCCCGTGCCATTGCTCCAAGCTATCGTGGAGTGAATTTGCCCAACAGAGCAGCACCACACGCCAAGCCTCGAGCCGTACACTGCCCGACAGCTGCCTGACCGCGACGCGGCACTTGGTGTAGAGGTGAGACTGGAGCGTCCCTTGAAGTGAAGGTGCCCCTGATCTGCTCCAGGGCACACGATGTAGCAGTTCTGGACGCATCCCATTCATCCAGGTGCGCAGCTGATCCTGCTCAGAGGGATTGTCATAGAGAGCCCTACGCGTGAAGAGAAGAGGCAGGTCTCGGTGCAGAAAAGTTTGTCGTGACAATCGTCGAATCGCACGGTTCTATCTTGCCGCCTCGGACGCCTCCTTCGCAGCCTTGGCGTCTCTTTCGCGGACCCTGGCCTCAAACGCGGCGAGCTTGTTCGTCAGGGTGGCGCGTTGCTCGACGAGGCCCTGCCGCTGGGACTCGAGGACGGAGATTTGTTCGCTGAGGGGGGACTGGCGGAACTGGCCGCGCTTCTGTAGAGGGGAGGGGAGTCAGTCGGGCATTTCCAGAAGACAGAGGACGTGTATCGCAGGAGAGGGGAGAGGGGAGAGGGGGCGTTGTCCATACCTCTGTCCATTCTTGCTGCGTCTTGATGCCGGCACCGTAGATGGCGCCGGTGAAGACAACGGCGGCGAAACAGGCGGCGATGACGCCGGCGCGGACCTTGCGGGCACCGGGGGTCGCCATTGTGTGGGGGTGGGAGCGAAACGATGGGCTGAGCGAGTTGGGCAGTCACCAGTAGTCACGCCAGACTGACTGGGCTTCCTGGCTCTTGACGGAAGAGGTGCTGGTGTTGCTGGTGGTGGTCGAGGTGCTCGAGGTTGAGCAAAGACTGGTGACGGAGCTGGTGCGGGTGTGGATGTGGGGTCTCGATCGCAGGTTGGCGAATGGCGTCAACTGGCTCTCTTTGGAGGTCAATGACGACGCAGAGGTCGAACGCCAGGGCTGGAGCTCAATGTCGTTCGCGGTCGAGGTTGAGCTGGACAGGGCGGCAGAGACAGGGTCGGCGACGGCGATCGACGCGTTGCTGCTCCTGTTGGTGCCAAGACCGGGAGCGGAGCGGGACAGCACGCACGCTTGCCACGGCGTCGAGGTCCAGCTCCAGCTCCAGTGACTTAGTAATCGCCCTTGTCCTCCGCTCTTGCCGTCCATTTCTGGGAAGGGCCGATGAGTTCGTGTTGCGAGGGAAACTTGGGTAAGAACGACCGAGGCGTACTTGCTTGCTTTCAATCCTCTGGAAAGAAGCAGACTCGTTCGCTCGAGGGCACATTGGGCCCTTTTTGTCGCTGAACACATAGTCGCATCTTCTCTTTCTCTCTCTCTCTCTCTCTCTCTCTCTGTCGTCAGCTCTCCGTCCTGCCGCACGTTCAAAGTTTCGCCATTGCGCCCAAACCTGCCTTCGGCTTGTTGAAACACAATAGCGCACGAGCGCCCGATGCGAGCGCGACAGAGTGAGTATGGCCTCTACTCTTGGGCTTCGACCGTCTCTTGCGGTCTGAAACACTTCGCGACGGAAGTACGGCACCGTCAGATGAGATGAATTGGCCTTCAGTCATCCTCGTATTTCCGTGCCCACTGTCAGTCAATTAGTCGGCCTACATGGTCTCTAAATCCATTGACCATCACGTCATGGCGGATCACGCTGTGGGGATGCATCGTTCAGAGCGTATCGGACTGCAACTGCACCAGATGGATGACCTGAACATGAATCTGACCAAGATCGAGACTCGCATACGGAACACTTCCTGTCGTCTTGGAGCACAAATCTTGAGACCGTGGCACTAATTCTGGCTCAGCATCTCTGCCCCCAACAAACCCAATACCCCGCCATGGCGCCCCGCGTCTTCATCATCCGCCACGGCGAGACAGAGTGGTCTCTGAATGGCCGTCACACGGGCACCACCGACATCCCGCTGACTGCCAATGGCGAAAAACGTATTGAGGCGACGGGCCGCGCTCTCGTCGGGCGTGACCGCCTCATTGTTCCCCGTCAGCTCGCTCACATTTACGTCTCCCCGCGGAAGCGGGCCCAGCGCACCTTTGAGCTCCTCAACCTTGGTCTGCGCAACCCGCTTCCCTGGCAGGCCCACGGTGAGCCAGCCACCGACGGCGCGGATGGCGACGGCGCCGGCACGAGCCGCTCCTGCGACGCCCAGGTTCAGGTCACAAACGACATTCGCGAGTGGGATTATGGCGACTATGAAGGCATCACAAGCCCCGAGATTCGTCGCCTGCGGAAGGAGCAGGGGCTTTCCGAAGGCTGGGATATCTGGCGTGACGGCTGTCCCGGTGGCGAGTAAGTTTTCTGGCGGCCCAAGTGCCCGCCCACAAAGAGCGCCTATTCTTATTTTCGCAAGGCAAGTGTGCTGAACGAACAAACAGGAGCCCCGAGCAAGTCACTGAGCGCCTGGATCGTCTGATTCAAGACATCCGCGACCGCTGGCAGGCACCCGTGCTTGAAAAGGGAGCCGACGCCGCGAGCAGCACAGGTGATGTTCTCGTTGTCGCCCATGGCCACATTCTGCGCGCCTTTGCGCTGCGGTGGGCCGGCAAGGCACTGCATGAGGGGCCGGCATTTGTGTTGGAGGCTGGCGGCGTGGGAACCTTGAGGTGGGTTACGGAACCTGGAGGCGCAACTTTTCGCGGTCGGTTCGCTAACACTGTCTGCAGCTATGAGCACCACAACATTGACGAGCCCGCTATTCTCCTGGGCGGCGCCTTCGTTGTCGATATCGCCGAGAAGGCTGCGGGCCACGAGTGAGCCGGGGTGACGAAATGTGCAATTGGACAATTTAATCATAGAGAAAAATCTCGCACGTTGGCTTACTGAGAATAGACGAGTCATCTCGACGCCTCTACTCGATATGGCCTCACTGCCAGCCTATCGGCTGCTGACCTTGTTCATCCGCTTGTTTCGAGTTGAAGAAGACATATGCTGCCGTCCGTCCCTGCAAGTTCCCGCCATTGCCTCTACGTTTATGCCTTGGTGCCCCGAGCCATGAAGACACGCCGCTTTCGGTCCTCATCTGCGCCGTGGAACACGACGCCGCTACCGACCTCTTGCAGCACGTAATTGATCCCGGCGCCGGCACCCTCGAACATGGCCCGCATGCGCTCTTCCGAGAAGCCGTGGTGCATGACGCCGTTGGCCGGACGTTGCCTCGCTGCCTCGGCAGGCTTGTCATGGTGACGGGCATGCTCGTGGCCGTGACTGTGGCCGTGGCCATTACCGTGACCGTGACCGTGACCGTGACCGTGACCGTGGCCATGCTTGTCGTCATGCGCGTGCCCGTGGTTGCCGTGCTCAAAAAAGTCAATGATCAGCAGCACGCCACCGGGCTTGAGGCGCGCCACGAGCTGTTTGGCCGCGTACTCAGGATCGTCAAAGTGGTGGAAACCAAGACCCACGACGGCGAGGTCGAAACCGGTGAAGCCAGCACCCGCGAGGGCTGCAGGGCTAGGATCCGATGGATCTATCAGGTTGCCGTGGTAGGCTCGCATCTCGCTGGCAGAGAGGCCCTGTTGGCGCATCACACCATGACGCATCAGTCTGGGCCTAGGAGGAGAGGAGGGGGGAACTCTCGGGGAGAGGACTCTGCGGGGATCACGGGGAAACAGAGGACTGGAGGCGGGCAGAACAGAGAGATTTGGTCGTGCCTAGAGGGTACGTTACGAACCGGGTTTTCGGCTCTGGCGTTGAACGCCGCCACCATCTTCTCCGAGACATCGATGCCTACACATTGCGTAGTGTATTGGGCGAGGGCCTGTCAACGTTGTACGTGTCAGGGCCGTCCAATGCTTGACTAAACGGCATCCAGTGGGGATGATGCCACGGGCTGGCGAGAGAAGGGAGAGCAAGGAGGAAAGACGATGCTTGTCATGGCGAATACGTACCCTCGACACGAGTCCGGTGCCACAAGCATAGTCGAGCACTTTGACCGTCTTGCCAGCACCGACAGACGACTCGGTAGTATCGCCATTGTCATCTTCGTCATCACTGTCCTCCTGAACCCAGTCAATGCCGATGAAGTCTCGGCGTTTCTGGATCTCCTTGACGAGCTGATTGATGACCTTCTCGAAGCGGCGGTCATACTCGGACGCTAGGCCGCTAAACGGAGAAAAGAGAAGACGTGTCAGCTCAAGCAACACAACGTAGAGAAGGATCGCTGGTGACACGGCGCCGTCGACACGACGCATTTTCGTCATGACTGTCACAACCCATCGACCACCCGACGAAGTGGGGGAGGGGTGAGGACGAGGTAGCAGAGAAGGAAGAGGACGACGAGGCTGCTGTAGGAACCCGGCCTCAGGAAGGGAGAAGCATCGCGTCACCGGTAAGAGGGAAGCACACGTACTCAAAGTAAGCTTTGTTGACAGCTGTCGTGTCACTCATGGTGACGTTATTTGTGTCCCAAACCCGACCTGAGTGAGTCTGTACGCAAGTAGAACGAACGGCGTGCGTGCGAGCAGAGCAAGGTAAGTGAGCAATGATCGAGAGCGGGAGCAAGTTGCAAGAAGGGCGGCCTAATGATGGACGAGGCAAGGCAGCAAGCCTTGATGCACACAACCTTAAATGCCAAAGAACGGAGAGAATCGAGCGACTGGGTTCTGTGTATGTCTCCGAGTCTTGCTGTGCGAGTGCCAGGTATCGCAACGAAGAGACAGGCGAAGTCGCAGAAGCGGTGGAGCGGAGACATTTCGGCGACATCCACCCCCACAATCAACAGCGACAAGTCAAGTCGACACATGATTAAGTCAAGTGTGCCGCAGTTGCGGCGACCCGCTCTCGCCGCCCGCGCGTGGTCGGCAACGACGACGCGGCGCAAGGCCTCCCACGCCCGGCCGAGGTACCGGCCGGTGTCGACGGTGGGTAAGAACAATGACGCCGGAGCTTTCAGGCTCGCCGTGCTATGCGGGCTGCCTACCGCCGTTGCGCCTGTTTGCCGACGCCGCCCCACGGCGTATCTACCCGACACTCAGACCTGATTGCCCATCTGAGCTCTCGGCCATTGACCATGGATCAATCCGACCCTGCTCTGGCACGCCTCTTGACTTCACCGTGCGGTGTGCGGTCGCCTCGTGCTCCGCGCACCACCACATGTATATGTACTTTGAACATGGCACGGAAGCACTGTTTGCTCGTCCCACGGGCGAAAAGATGAAACCCAAACGATCAGACCGGTCTAGTTGCTGTCGTGGTCCGGCCGGTCCAGACCTTGCCTGCTTGAGCATTCCGCGCGCCACCCTTCTTCTTCCCATCCGAACCGGGGATGCTGCCCCGCGCCTGGACTCAATCTCGATGGCCTGATGAGAGGGCACTCTTTCCGCCTTTCGGCCCGCCGCTGCTGGCAATGCATGGCCTCAGGCATGGCAAAGAACAACCTGAACGGGCGACAAACAGCCAGTACGCCGTGTCCAGGGATATGCCACCAACACATACACCCCGCCCACGGTTGCTTGCATACGTCGTGCTCGCCGAGCAGGAGCCCTTGTTGGACGTCCGATAAGCTGAGGGTTGCGCCACCCCTTACGACCCCAGCCCCTCGCCATGCAAGGTAAGGAGAAAAGAAGGTGAACGGATGGAAAGAGGGGGGGGGGGGACCAAGAACACTTTCACATAATTGGACATGGCCACTTTGGTTGAGCTGAGAGAGAGAGAGAGAGAGAGAGAGAGAGAGAGAGAGAGAGAGAGAGAGAGAGAGAGAGAGAGGAGAGATCAAAAGCAAGGGGACACAGCGTGCAGCCGCGGGTACCGGGGGCCAAACCGCAACTGTCATGGAAAGTTGGCAGAAAGGACCAGATCGGCGTCGATCCTGCCGCAGCCCGCGCCGGTCCGCAGCCTGTGGTTACGGCGAGTGGAACGACCCCTAGACGATTTGCGATTCCCGATGGGCGAGACGAGGGAAGAGAGGGGGGGGGGGGGGGGGAAGACATGCGGTCAGGCCAGGCCCAAGCGGGCTCGAGGCAAGGCAAGGCAAGGCATCCAGCTCGTCTCGTCTCCTTCACCCCAGCCCCCGAAGTGAGAGGGTTGCGCGCGCTGACGGGGCGGATACGTGCGTTTTTTATTGCTCTGGATCCAAGCTGGCGTGTGCCGACCATCCCCGTGCTTGATGTTTGCTTGCTTGCTTGCTTGTTTGCTTGTTTGCCTGCCT